TTTTGTTTTGTTTTGTTTTGTTTTGGCAGCCAGCCAGTACAGGGATCTAACCCTGGAACTTGGTGTTACCAGCACCACACACTAACCAACTGAGCTAACCAGCCAGTCCTGACTACACTCACTTCAAAAAACTAGTAGAATTAATGAGAATATTGGATAAGGGAACACTATGATATAAGATAAATATACAAAATCATTAGGCTTTCCGTATTCAAGTATTAAGCACCTAGAAACAGAATTGGAAAAAATATTCCATAAACAATAGTGAAAAAGTCAATAAAATACTTATGAATAAACTTAGCAAGAAACCTATATGAAGGAAGCCATAAAACTATATTGAAGGATAAATTTTAAAATCTAAACAAATGGAAAGAAAGATCCATGTTTTTAGATGGAAAAACTTAATATCACAAAAATGTCAATTCTGAGGCTGGCTGCTTAGGTCAGTTACAGCATGGTGTTATAATGCCAAGATCAAGGCTTGGATCCCCATACCAGCCAGCCACCAAAAAAAAAAAGTCAATTCCCTTAATGTTATAAAAATGTCTAATTAAAAAATAAAGGGTTCTTAAAAAATAGAAAGGACATTAGATAAAAATTGAGGAAATCTGAATAAAATATAGATTTTAGTTAATACTAATGTTATCAATATTGGTTCATTAATTGTAACATATGTATCATATTAATGTAAAATGTTAATAGTAGGAAAACTGGGTCAGGAGTATACAGAAGCTGTCTGTAGCATCTCCACAATTTTTCTGTTAATCTAAAACTGTTCTAAAAAATAAAGTTCATGGGCCAGCCTGTGGCTCACTCGGGAGAGTGTGGTGCTGACAACACCAAGTCAAGGGTTAAGATCCCCTTACCGGTCATCTTTAAAAATAAATAAATAAATAAAGTTTATTTAAAAAGCATATGTGTGAGACAATCAGGGAAGTTTTTTGAAAAAAAAAATAAATAGAATTCCAGTAAAACAGATAAAAGTATCTTAAAGTTTAGAGAGAAAACAAATGTCCAAGAAAGCAAATAAAAGAATAAAAGAGAATAGTGAAAGGAAATATACTTTAAAGCCACTGTAATTAAATCAATATGGGCGATTGGTGTAGAAATAGATAAATAGATGAGTGGAACAGAACTGAGAATCCAGAAATAAAAACCAGTTTATACGTTTTTTGTTTTGGGGGTTTTTTGGCAGGTGGCCTGAACATAGATTGAACCCTTGACCTTGGTGTTACCAGCACCATGCTATAACCAACTGAACTAACTGTCCAGCCCTTATATGAAATTTTAATACATGAAAAAATGTATTTTAATTCAATGGGGAAAAGAGTGATTATTTAATAAATGGTGCTGGCACAACTGGCTATCCATCTGGTAGAAAATAGTCAGTCCCCTATCTCATATTATAAATAAAAAAAAAAATTCTAGATGGAGTAAATGCTTAAATGGAATAAAAGCTTCAACTTAAAAGAAAACCTAGGAGACAACACTTGCAATCTGTTTCTTAGCCAAAAAAGAAAGATAGTCATATTTGAGTTCATAAAAATTAAAAACAATTTATGTTGTAAAAGCTATCATAAACAAAATAGGCAAATGATAGATTTGGGAACATACTTGAAAAAGAGATAACAGATAATGTGTTAGTAATCATCACGGATATACAAAGAGCTCTTAAAAATCGGCAAGAGACAAACAACTCAATGGAAAAATGGGTAAAGGACAAGAAAGGGAGTTCATGAGAACAAACTGACATAGCCACAAGCATGAAGATGCTCAAACCAGCTAGTAATTAGAGAAATTAAAATTACAGTATAAAACAGTAATCACTCTACAGCCAATAAGGTAAAAGAAAAATTAGAGAACAATAATATCAATTGCCAATAGGATGAGTAGGGAAAAATGTAAATTGTTTATAACTGTTTTGGAAAACAGCATGACAAATATTTTTACATTAAAAATACCCAGACACTTCAACCAACAAATCACACTCCCAGGAATCTATCCCATAAAAATAAAATCACCAATAAAATGTTTATTGAAACATTACTCTTACTGCAAAAATCAGGAAACAAAAAATGAGTTCCCAGCAACAAGGTAATAAATAATGGTACATCTATACTGTGTAATATTAAACAGCCATTACAAAGAATGAACTAGAGCTATACAATTTGACTTGGAAGGATTTTTCTGGACGTGTCTTTGAGTGATAAAAATGAGATGCAGAGAAGGGCATACACCACAATCCCATTTTTACAAAGCAAATATTGATCAAATCCTATAAATGTATGTGCCCCAAGCACACACACATGGTCTGTGTGTGTGTGTGTGAGAGAGAGAGAGAGAGAGAATGTGAACATGGAGACAAACATGGAACGATACATACCAGCTTACTAACATGGATTACTCGAGAAGGCAGGTAGAAAATGCAGGGTTGAACAGAAAAAATGAGCAGAATGTATGATATGATTCCATCTACGTTAAGTAAATTAATCAAAGACCGCTAGAATGTGGATTAAGAACATAACATGATTGGCATGAGCTTCCATCCTCCACATAGTCCCCATTCTTAAACTACCCCATAATCATTTGTCATTTTCTTGCCCATGGTACTATCAGTTCTGTACAATGTTAAGTCTCACAATCTTTTATGCATTTTGTGACAATCTTAATGAAAAATGTTTTTCATTAACTGTGACCCCGTATTTTCTGAAACTGAACTTTTGGACCCCACTTTTCAAGCTGGTAGTTTTACTCACCAATGCAAGTATGTATCTATACATAAAGAAATTAGAAAAAACAAGAGATTGGTAATTATATATTTACTGATTGTTGGAATGTCCATAAAATGAAAATACAAGTTACAGAAAATTAAACATAAAGTATTCTATTTCAGTAAAAGCAAGCAAAACCTTAATTTTAAGTGTATATTTAAATATTTTTAAGTGAAAGTGAAAGCTGTGGAAAGTATTCACAAAGCCACTGGCACAGGTTACTGTAGGGGAGGGAAACAGAGGAAGAGGCAGATTACCAGCTTTGCTTTATTCCTGTCTGTATTACATTACTTCACTTGCTACAAAAAGCAAAATAGTATTGCTTTTGAAACCTGAAATCAGTAAATAATAAAAAGATAAATTACAAACAATAAAATAAAATAAAATGGGTATTACTTAGTACCTACCTCATAAGATCTATTGTGAAGATTAAACAAGATAATTCACGTGAAGTGCTTAGCATATTGCCCAACACAATACAAATGCTCAATAAATGTTAGCTACTTTTTATTTAAAAAAGAGAAAGACTACAGAGAGCAGTGGAAATTATGAAGCTGAAAAGACAAGCCTTTTGAAAACAACATCGTGTACACAGGGCACTTTCCCTATTACTGAATCTGGCCTCCTTTGGACTGCAAGGATGAAGCTGAAAAGACAAGCCTTTTGAAAACATCGTGTACACAGGGCACTTTCCCTATTACTGAATCTGGCCTCCTTTGGACTGCAAGGACTCATGGCAACCATACAGCTCATTAAACACACTTTCATTGAAAGCAAAAACAAAATTACAATGAGATGAATAAGGTACTTAAACAATAAAAAGGAGATGGCAATCTTTTGCCTTGGAGGTCACTTTAAGCACTTCAAGAACTACCCTAAGGAATTAGACTTCTGCCACAGCACTTCAAATGAGAGATACTTGGGCCCTGGCTGTTTCCCCAATGTTGGAGGAAATTCAACAGGACAAATTCATAGAGACTGGACAGTGATACAGTAGTTCTTCTCGAGGCCTGCGCAAGTGGGGGAAATCCATTTCTAGACATACAAATTCCACTCCCAAGTCTGAGAATTTCTTTGCTGGCCCAAAATTTCTCGGCATGCCTAAAAACATGTTAGATTAGTTATAACCTACAAACTAAACCTGGTCCGTCACTACTATTCTTATTGTTCAACATAACATTAAAATAGATTCATAAAGTTCACGCTCCTGTTGTTAGTCTTACCACTCACATGGAATTGACTTTCTCTTCAGGGCCTTGCACTTGTCCTGTCACAGTGCCTTTGCTGGTGTTCTTCACCCAGCCAACCACTCCTATTTTCCGAGCTTCGCCTTCTGTGTACTGGTTTCAGGAAAACAAGAGAGATGAAGTCTATCATCAAAAATCTGCATTCATAACATACTTGATTTTGACATTCAAAAAATGCTAACCTGATATAATCATTTTTTTCCCCCTAAAACATACCCTATGCCATTGTGTAGCTGGCTTATGGTAACACTTCTATTTACAAGAACCTTCACTTACATGGTATCTTTTGTTAAATTTTACTTTCCCTAAAGGCAAGCACATTACAAAATAACAAACGGACATGGGAATTATTTCAGTAATAGTTTGTATAATGTGTTTTAAGATCCATAAAATTAAATTGCATTGCCCTCATGCCTGCTAACACTAAATTACATTGTTAATCTGGTTCCAAATGATGAACAATCTAAGATTCTCAATCACTGAGGAAAAATATCCAGTTATGATCGATATAAAGTATTCATAGGCAGAAACAGAGACTAAAACACTTTGAAATTTCCAATTTAAATGGGAGAAAACAATATTAATAATAAAATTAAGCTAGCAAGAACACTAGCCTAGACATGCTGGTTTGCAGAGTAATTGTAAGATTAAAAGATTCTGATGTTTTCTGTTGGCTCTGGACTTGCCACAGAGATGTTATAATTGTCTAAAATTTATTTCTCCTATTATTCTTAATTGTTTCTGTAAACTCCTTTTCTTAGTTCCAAATTCAGTTATGCTACTGGCAAATGAAAAACTGACAACATCTTGATTTCAAATTATTTTAACTATAACCTACTAAAATTCCTGTGGATCTAGTCTACTAGAACTTTTCAAAAACATGCTCTTCTCCTATTTGGAGGCCAGGGTCATCAAGATCTCTATACTCCATACCTCCAACTGGATGAAGCAACACAAACCAAAATGGGTACAGCTAAGATTGATATTGGACTTAGTTTTGAAAATAAGTCAAGCTCTTACTAGATAATAAAAAAGGGGACAATCTGAATTACAGGGTATGCAGCTGTCTCAAAATACAGAGATTTTACTAGTGGGAACATGTTGGAACTCTCAGGAGTTAGGAACCAGAGATCCAAACTAGAGACTCCCAGCTCAGATAGCAGGTGAAAATACATGCCACAATTAACTTTTAGGAAAGGAGTATTTTCAAAAATAAAAATCAAAAAAGTGACAAGGAGTTTTAACTGTTAAAAACCTGGGAATCACTTCCTCCTGCAATATTAGCACTTTTCTTTTTGCAGTTCAAGATACATGCATACTCTTGCCTAGAGGCTTTCTTCTGTTCAGAACCGGTGGAAGATCCCATACTTTGTATTCAATGTACCTAATCAAAATGTTTAATGTTAATCACTCCAAGAGAGGTATTTTTGAAATTCTAAGAAAACAATAGCTAAATACTAGAAAGGCTCTAATGTTTTTAACAGACTATTTTTTAAAGACAGCTTTAATGAAAATCTCAATCAGTAATTTCAAAGAAGTACGCATTATTTCATCATTTGCTGTCAAGGACAAGAACTACGCAGCAGACCAGCACTAAGTGGAAAACTGCTCTATCTCTGTAATTAGAAATAACATTGGGAAAAAAAGGCAGAAAATAATAAACAGATTGTATTAACTTACCATTCTGAAGCAAACACCTGTACAAAAGAAAGATAAAAAGAAATGTCAGCTTGTCTACCTTTAAAAAGATTATATTTTCCCTTACATTTACCTATTAATTAAGTGAAATGAACAAAACATTTAATATTCGGGTGTTTTTAAAAATCACTTTCTTTTGGGCTGGCCCGGTGGCGCACTGCTACAGTGCGCCGCTTGGGAAGCGCAGCAGCGCTCCCGCCGAGGGTTCGGGTCCCACATACAGACCGGTTCCCGCTCACTGGCTGAGTGAGGTGCGGGAGCAACACCAAGAGTTGCGATCCCGTAGCTGGTCCCGGTCTGGTACGGGCGTGACACTGAGGGTTGTGATCCATTGCCGGTCACGAAAATGACAATCTGTTAGATAGATGGAGGGAAAGATATAAAAGGAATAGGCAAAACATTCAAGAAACTTCAGGTCAATCAGGCCAGGTACAAAAGAGAGACAAAATAGGAGAGAAAACAGAAGGAGCTGTGCAGGCAAAAAGTGTGTGGTCTTTTCATCGTAAGAGCGAGGGGATCCCAGAACACAGTAAGATTCTGATCAAGTAAGCAGACTGAAGGGTGTGGTCAAAGTCACATTGCGCATACACCCCTCTGAATTTCTCAACAGTGAACAGCCCCGTACACTAGCATTATGAAAAGANAAAAAAAAAAATCACTTTCTTTTAAAATGAAAAGATTTTTTTGAAGAAAAATGGTAGTATTCTGAAACCAAAGTATAAAGAAATGCTGAACTACATATTCATTCTATTTTAAAACTTAAATAAAACAAGATGCTAATTACATATTACAAGGACAGTTAAGTATATTTAGCATAAGATCTATCTATGCTCAGCTTTTAGAATTTCTTCTTTAAACACAAGGACTAAGTTCAAGTTTAAATGTAATAAAACATTTTTAATTTTATTTCTAGTTATAGAACCAATGAAGCATATATCATGAAATTATATGCTTGACCATAATTTGGCTTCTGAAGCCTCAGTACAAATGGGAATTAACAAAAATGAAATCAACTCTTGGAATCTCTATGGTATAGATTATAGTATGTTCATACTTTGAATCACATAGGTTGAGTAATATTGTTGGTCTTGGTTATGTTTTCTCTATCTAGACTGTGATAGGCCAGGCTGTTCCATATTGACCAATTACCATGGTATCTTATACTTTGGATACCCAGACTGCAAAACTGTGGGAGCACTATCTCAGACAGAAGTCCCAAAATGCTATGGGATTTCACAAGTGAAGAAACATCAGGAATGTGGCAGGTGCAGAAATACAGAGCTTGTTAGTACCTAAGGCAACTTAGTTTTCATTTCTATCTAGAACACATGGGAAATCTGGAAATTAGCTTTTTAGCACCCAAGAAGCCAAACGACCAAAAAAAGTTTAAACTTAAAAAGGAGAGGGCATAGTAATTAAAAATACATTAGAATGGAAAAACAACCCTGATAAATCCACACAATGGAATATTGTCAATAAAAAAGAATGAACTATGGATACAAGCACCAACTCTATGAATCATATGTATGAACCATGAATGCATTATGCTAAGTGAAAGGAGCCACACTCACACATAACATGTAATTCCACATTCTGGAAAAGGCAAAACTATACAGACAGAAAACTGATTGGTGGCTGCCAAGGGTTGGAAGTGGAGGGGAGAGAGTGCTACTAGGGGACATAAAAGAACTTTCTGGGGTGACAAGACTGTCCTATATCTTGCTTGTGTTGGTTACATGACTGTATGCATTTGTCAAAACTCGCTGAATTGTACATAAAAAGGGTGAATGTTACTGAATGTAAATTATACCTTGATTGAAAAAAATTAGAAAAAAAAAACACTGGGAAGTCAGAGACCAAACCAATCTTCAAAGAGGCCAAAAGATATTGCTTCCACATATACCAGCTGAGCCTGGTTACAGAAGGATACAGAAAAAGGGATCAGTAGCTTAGATATTTTTGTGTAGTTTTAGAAGCAGATTTATAATAATGCTCTCTGATGGTAGTATATTGTGGTAACAAATGAATATGAAGAAAAAGAGCAATAAAGAATGGATAGTATCACAAATGAAATTTTTATAGAGCTATGAAAATATTTTAAAAGATACATGTGAAATGTGGAGGAACAAGTAGAAAACATTGATTTGAAGGAAAGTCAGAAAGACAATCTGTTAGATAGATGGAGGGAAAGATATAAAAGGAATCGGCAAAACATTCAAGAAACTTCAGGTCAATCAGGCCAGGTACAAAAGAGAGACAAAATAGGAGAGAAAACAGAAGGAGCTGTGCAGGCAAAAAGTGTGTGGTCTTTTCATCATAAGAGCGAGGGGATCCCAGAACACAGTAAGATTCTGATCAAGTAAGCAGACTGAAGGGTGTGGTCAAAGTCACATTGTGCATACACCCCTCTGAATTTCTCAACAGTGAACAGCCCCGTACACTAGCATTATGAAAAGA